TGGGATGGCGCCGCTTCCTCCACCTCCACCCCGTGGCAAGCAGCAGCCCCAACCCCATGGCACGTGCGGGACGCTGAAGCCAAGAACTGGGATGGGAACCAGCAGCAGCAGCAGCCAGAGGCCCCTGCTCCCCCTCTGCCCACCGCAGCTCCCGGCCCCATTCCAGGCCCGAACCAGGGTCCCGGTTGAGGAGCCCTCTCAAGGCGCCGGGTGTCTTGGTGCTCCTCTCCGACACGGGCCAGGCGGGCGCCCTGCAGAAGCGCCTGCATCTCCCACCTCCCCTCCGAGAAGCACCCGCATCCCAGCGGCGCCGGGCAGGGAGAGCCCGGAGTCCTGCAAACCCAGGGGGATCCCTCCCGGCCGCCCTTGGAGCGGCTTCCGCCACACGGACACACCACGAGGAGCCTCTTTGCAATATAAACTTGTTTTTATTGAAGCAGCAGTCACATGACCTCGCATCTAGCCTTTAAGAGAGCGACAGAATGGATTCGGCCAGGTCAGCCAGCCCAAAAACGTATTTTAACCTTTTTTTTTTCTTTTTTCTTTTTTCTTTTTTTTTTTTTTTGCGCTAATAGACATGTCGTGTTTAATACATTACATTATCCAGCACCGGCAACCCAACCCGGACAGCTACGTGCCGATTCCCTGGAGGAACGGGCCACTGGACGTGGTCACGACAGACGTTACAGATCACCACCAAAGAACGTCACTAATGGGACCAAACCCAAAAAAAGGGGGGAAAAAAAAAAAGGAAAAAAAAGGAAAAAGGAGAAAAAGAAAGAAGGAAAAAGAATGAGCGCAGAGCCAGCAGGTTACACAGGTTCTTCACTTTGCAGCTATAGGTGGACAGGAAAGGAAGCTTGGCTGCTTTCGATCTCAAGCAGCACGTCCCAGGGTTCCTCTCGCCATCAAATCCAATGGTACCACGGACAAGCTGGCATCTCTTGGAAAAACACCATGGAATAACACAGCTCATTGAAGAAAACATGCTTATTTCTTGCGTTTTTTATTTAGGGTTTTTTTTTTTTTTTTGATTATTATTAACAGTACAAAGATTCATGTCCACCTATTCTTGCGGAGCGGAAAGAGGAGTGAGGAGCAAGGGGCGGAGAAGGGAGACAAGAGGAGGAGGGAGAGGGTTGTGAAATAAAGACCACACACTTTTGTATTTTGAAATTTCATTTCCAGGCTAACCTACTTTTTATTTAATGCAAATTACAGTACCAGTTAACTATTTCCGAACCGAGTCACACAGAACAAAACATATTTACAAGGGGAATGGGGCGGGGGAAATAATAAAACATTAAGCATACTTTCCACAAAAAAAGTTTATATTTAAAATGAAAAAAAAAAAAAAATCAGTCACAGAGGCATTCAAGTAGTAATAATGTTATACAGGTTTTGCTTTTCCTTTAAATCAAGACAGATTTTGCACAAGTGTATGCAATAGTTTGTATACAACCCACAGTCCTTAATATATATATATATATTTTAGATTTCTGTTTTTAGGATGGAAGTGGTCACGCTAATTGGTGTGTACAGGCCCAAGTGATCCATCAGCAACACATTAATGAACGCAAATTTTACAGGCAAGCAAATTATATATATATAAATATATTTTATATATATATATATTAAAAATAAATTGAGAAAGACCAACACAAGGAAGCTACTTTTCTCAAGCTAACCCCTTAGGTACTGTTTTCCTTTCTGGTCGTTTTGCTGTTATTGCAGTGTTGCAAAACGAAACGAACTATGAACAAAACTGGCTAAAAGCCCTGTGGAAATCAAACTGGAACCCCAGGGGTACCTTTGCACGGTCTCCCAAAAGGTCGGCCCTGGCCTGAATACGCTACTGTGCTTTTCATTATTGGCTTTTTCTTTTTCTTTTTTTTTTTTTTTTTAACTGCAGTGGCTGAGGCTCCTAACGCAGGAGCGGTTCACAGGCTGCTTCCCTCTCGTTTTAACTTTCGAGCGAGTCCTGAAAACCTGGGGAAGTTTTTAAGTGTCTTGTCGAGGTTGCAGGCACCTGCCAGTACTTCAGACAAAGCTTTGCTTAATGAAAAAAGAAAAGAAAAAAGAAAGAAAAAAAAAGGAAGAAAGAAAGAAAAAAAAAAAAGAAAAAAACAATCAGGGTTGTTCTAGTAGCCAATTTTCTTTTGTAGTTCATTTTTTTTTTCCTAGCAAGGTAGATAAGTTTAATGTTAAGAACACCAGTGTCTCGACGGGACGTCCCATCGCCGGCGGCTCCGTCTCGGAGAGCTCCGGCCGCGGGACAGACGGGGCCTGTTCCCCGGGAGCGGAACCCCCGGCCGCCGGGAGCCCGCCGGGAGCCTGGCAGCTCCGGGCGGAGCGTCGGGACGGCCCTTTGGGGGCCCTGACCCTCGTGTCACCAGCAGGAAAGCGCAGCCTCTGCTCCGGAGACGCTCCGGAGTAAGACGGCAGCCTTTGGTTTGCTAAAGGAGGTCAGGGTTTCCCCACTGCGGACAACCTTAGGCGGGATACTAACAAGGTAGTAAACACAAGCAGACTAGTTTCAGAAACAAGGCCTTCGTGCTGGGCACAAGAACTTAAGAGCAATGTTAAACTTATCGTCTTCAGGAAAGAAAAATGACTCCGGGGAAGGGAGCATGGAGCGCGGGGGGGGAAAAAGGGGGCCAAAAGTGCCCTGGTGGGGCATCCATGTGGCAACCGCACGCGTGGCTTCCCCTGCTTCCCGCTGGGAATCGGGAGCCGCCGTCGCGGAGGCCGAGGGAGCCCCAGGCGGCTCCCGGCCGCGGCCTCCTCTCCATCGGGGAGACGGCATCCGGAAAAAGGAGAGGGGGGAAAAAAGAAGAAGGGGTGGGGGGTGGGGGGGAAAGAAGGAAAAAAGAAAAAGAAAAAAAAGGGAAATAAAATCCAAGAAATCATGGAAGCGAAGGCACTCCAAACTATATAGATACACTATACATCGCTAGAGTTATTGTTACAATAATACAGGCCGGTACCTACTGTACAGAGTTAAAACTATATGGCTTTAAAAAGCTCGTCTACATTTTGTCTGGTTATTAAACAGAATCACTGCCCTGAACGGTAACTTTTTGCTCATTAATAACAGTTCCTGGGTCCACATATTTACATACAAAACAATAAAACTCAAAAGTTAAAAACAACCAAAAATAATAATGTACAAGCTTGAATTTGGTGAGGAGCTTTGTGGTTTTTTTTTTTTTTTTT